TCTAAGAACTGGCAGAATTTCAGCAGCTCATGAATAAAACATGAAAGTGCAGCGTTCTCCTTTTTTCACGCAGCATAATTTCACGTCTCCGCAGGCTTCCAGTCCCATGTTCAAACAGTACATCGCTCAGGTCCTTCTGAATGCCAAAGCCATGGCCGGCGCTCTGCTGCAGAAAGGCTACACCCTGGTGTCAGGTGAATCCCTCATGCACATCAACAGACATTTAAAAGACGCATGAAACTGGCAGCTTCCATGCTTCTCATACCACGGCATGAGCACTTTGTAGGTACTTCATGCACTCGCCTCCTTTTTTCATTCACAGCCCATTAATTTGCTTTTTTGTTTGTTTTTTTTACTTTTTAAAGGCAGCTTTCACTTTACTGTTGAACGCTTAAGAAATATCACTGAAAAGAAAAGTCAGAGTTGATGTTTTCCAGCAACAAACGGTTTGGAAGCAGTGAGAAGAATCGGCTCATTTCATCCAGTCAGACGTGTTTCGTAAAAATCGACATAATGAAGCTTTAACTTACACTTACCCTGCTTCGTTCTCATCTCCCTCCTCTTAGGCGGAACCGACAACCACCTGGTATTGGTTGACCTTCGACCTCACGGGATAGACGGAGCCCGAGCAGAGAGGGTCCTAGAGCTGGTATCCATCACAGCCAACAAAAACACCTGTCCGGGGGACAGGAGCGCCCTCACTCCAGGAGGACTCAGACTCGGTAAACAAACTCATGATTATTCGTTTTAATATGGAGGGTGTAGAAAATGCATCTCCTGTTTAGTATAAAAGTCTGTGTGCATTTATTCTAAAGCTTACTGGGTTATTTTCTGTCGTTGTTTTGTTTGTTTTTCTTCGCTTTTCTTACCATCTTAATTTTGTTTTTTTGCTGAAGGAGCTCCAGCTCTGACTTCTCGACAGTTTAAGGAGGGAGACTTTGAGAAGGTTGTGGATTTCATAGATGAAGGGATTCAGATCGCTCTGAGTGTGAAGCAGAAAACTGGTGAGACTGTTTCGGTGTGATAATTAACTGGGCAAGAGATTTTATGTTTTGTAAATGAAAAAAAAAAAAAAAAAAAATCAAATTTAGGAGCAAAAAATAAACTATCAAAACACATCACTGTGTGTCGTGAATCATGGGATTTACTTTTTGAACTCAATTCCTAATTTTTTTTTCACTTTATCTTGAACTGAAGAAGATTAAGAAGACCAACTTGTTGAGATATTGTAGAGTACCGTAACGTTTTATTTATTTTTTTGGCACTTTATTTTTTTTTTTACACATTTCCTTTTTCCTCCCATCAGGAAACTTGGCCAGCTTCAAGTCCTTCCTGCTGAAGGACCCTGACACAGTAAAGCTCATTGCAGAGCTCCGCCATCGGGTGGAGCTATTTGCCAGACCCTTCCCCATGCCAGGATTCACAGATCACTAAAAGAGAAAGCGGGCTTCTCTCCAGCGACGTCACCTTCTGTCGACTTCCTGTGGAACTGTAACGCGCAAATGTCACCGTTATATTTGGATCACGCCGCACTGTTGGTCAGTTTTCTGCTGAAAATGTAAACACAGTCTTTTTAATGGAAGAGTTTCATCCGAGGCCGTGGTAAATAATGACTGGTGTACAGAACGATGCATTGAATATTGATGTACAGCTGTGAAGAGAAACATTTCAGTGTAATTGTTGATCAAAGTCAGACATGAATAAAGCAAGAAATCAAGTTTGCACAACGTTGCTTTTTGACGTATTTTCTTAAGATATTCTGACAACCAAATTAAATAAGAAATGAATGCTTTTATATTACATTTTGTTGGACCAAAAATCAGATGTATTGGATTCAACAGAAACAGCTGGAAGGAGCTAGCTTCTGTCTTTCTAGGTTGCGTCAACATTTTGTGTTATTTGTTTTCGTCTGGCTCGATTTTGTGAGTAACATAGTAATTCCAGGCTTAATTGTTACTAAGCGACGTCTGAAGGAAATTATGTGTAATTGCAAAAAGAAAATAAACAAGGGTAAAAGTGGATTTCTGGGTTAGATATGAGGATAATAGTTTGTAATTTAAGAAGGGAGGGGCTTCTGTGGCTCATAAACAATGATCTGAATGAAACAGCTGGCATTTCCTCCTGGTGTTCAGAGAATATAGTAAAAAAAAAAAAAAAGGTGATTTCTGAACAGGATGAGAAATGTGTCAGAAAGGTTGGAGTCACAGATTCAGAAAGTTTTCATTAACCTTTTTTATCTGCTTTGCTGTTCAGTGTGTCTTTTTCAAATCAAAGGAAGTGTCCACCACAAATTTTCAATATGGATTTCACAACATATTTAGACATAAACGCATATATAAACAAAACATTTTGCCAGATAAAGTAATAAAAATGAAGGGTATTTAGAGTTGCTTTGTTTTAATCACAAGTTGTGAATGTATCAAAAATGAAAAAAGCTTAAAAATATATATATGTCTAGGGGCTAAAATGCAATTTCCCAAAATCCCAGATTCCCTTGTCACAACTGTGGGAGGACATGATGGTGTAATTAAAACCAGAATCTCTTGGTAACTATGACAACATGTTACTCTAGCGGTCCCATCCGTAGTTAAAAACAGTGGAGGTTGTATCATGCTGTGGGATTGCTTTGCAGCAAGCAGAACAACAAACACTTTAGAGCTGACTGTGTTATTGTGTCAAACTATGTCTGAGTCTTTAAGCACAAAGGAGACCAAAGTCACACAACAAAGTCGATTTAAAAGAGCAGGAAAAAAAACGCATCTTTACTGCAGTCAGACTTCTCCTGATCCTCCCTCACAGCCTTTTGGGACGCTGAAATCTGTTATTTGAACAAACACAAGCTCTAAGAGCCTCTGGGCAAAGGAGTGATGGTGTCAGACAGTTGCTGAACAAACTTCTCAAGATGAAAGAAACCATTTTTAATTTTTTTTTTTAATCATTATTGTTTGTTTTAGTTTGTTCCTTTCCCGGTTCATCAAGAAGTACCAACATTCAGACTTCATAAATGTCCCAATTTGGAAAATTTTGAATATAAAATATGAGGTCAAATGCTTTGCTATGAACAGAAACAGTCCAAGACTTTATGTGACAAAGAACATTGATGCTTATTTTATGTTCTACTCATAACGCTGTCAGTCATTTGTAGATCAAACAGACTGTTGTAAAAATGAGAAGATGAGAGTCCTAAACTTTCAAAAGTTCCCACTGCTCCTCAGATCTTTATTCTCTCTGGCGCATAACATGTCCTAATTTTATCCCCCTTTTGATAAAATTAAGAATTTTATTTCACACACAAAGAGCTTGACAAAGTGGCACAAATCCAGCCAAGAACATGAACTTCTGGAGTTAAATATTTGAACACTCATTCAGCAAGAGACTGAAAGGACTTTTGTTCTGAGTCGGACGTCTCCAACTTGCTTCTTTGTTTGTTCTCCAGTTTTTTTTTTTTTGTTTTTTTTTCCAGCTGAAGATTTTTACCAGAGGAATGTGAATCGTCTCCAGAGGCTTATGGTTGAACTCGGGGTCGGCGAGGTTGGGTCGAGTTCTCAGCTGTGTCGTCAGAAAACCTCCAAACACTCTGACCGTCGCAAAAGCAGCATCACAGCACAAATAAATGATGACCCGCCTCGTCTCGCTGAATTTTTTCTCATGACCTGACAACTCGTCTTTGTGAGATTTTGAATGCATTTAAAAAGTCAGGGAAACCACGTGCTTACTCGATTCAAGGCGTTATTAGACTGGCTACTATTGAAACAGTGTTTGTTGTGATGTGATGTGGTTTTATTGTTGTTCATAGTCTAAAGTTGAGTTTTATGTCATGTGGTAATGTTATTCCCTCATCAAAAATATATCTGGAGCGTGTTTGAGAAATCCCTGAATCTCACGTGGCAACTACTCATTGGTGCCTAAACGTGTGCTCTTACAAAACGCTGCCTCTTTCCACAAAGCTCCTCCTCACAGCCTCACTGTCCAAGCCAAGCTCCTGTCCCACAGAGCATCCTTCCTCTGTACCTCCCCCATTCATCTCCTCAGGACTAGCGGCAGCAGCAATTAGCTAACACCTGGTGGAACTGAGCTCATCATAGGAACTACTTATCAGTGCAAGAAAGGTTGTCAACTGCATATTGAGTGTCAGGAACAGCAGAAGCTTCTTAAAGAGGCAGAAGCCCAATTTCAAGGTGTTAAATTACAAGGTCGAATTTCTTTTAAGTCATCTTTGATATATACAACATTTTTTTTTATAACAACTGAAGGTAACATAGATATTGGATCATGCTATAAGATGCCACTATATGCCTGGAAAATGCATAATACTGTCGCTTTAAGTTCTAGCATTCTTTGTCGTGTCTAACCTTCAATTCACCTGAGAAGAAACCTGAATCCATCATATTCAGTGGAAAGAGACACAACCAAACATCCACAACCCATGCTAGATGAAAATCCTGAAAGTAAAGGATGAAATGACCTTGAATGTTAGTATTAAACAGCAAAAGAGCTGATATTTGGAGCTTGATTTGAAAAAATAGGCTTACTAACATCATCTTTCCTTAAATTTAAGTTACCACTTTTCAGGAAGTACCAGTGATGACAGTTTCGTCAAACACTGAGCCCTCATTAGGATTTATTATTATCATTATTATGTATGTGTGTTGCGCAGTACTGTTACGTTTACAGTATTGTGCTTAGGATGCCACACAGGGGTGGACTGTTTAAAATCCTGCCACTGATCAAAGACACTGGGCTGCTGTCACATGTCTCCCTCACACACACACACACCCACACACACACACACAGTCTGAAGGTGGCTCCACTGAATAAGCATCATTCACCTGCAAAGTGACAGCCGTACTGCCGACAGACGGCTCGGCTCCATCAGAGCTTCTGAGTGCAGCGTGTGGAAAAAGATCCGTATCTCTCTCACTTCCATCCAGGCGCACAACAAAAATCACCTGCCCACCATGTGGAAACGGCTCACGACAAAATAAACACTTCGGCAGCCATCAATCTGCGGTTCATTTATTGAAAGAATATAATGTGATTAAAGCACCCGATGCTTTCATAAGTGACGCAATCACTGGTAAATTAAGTGACAGCTGAACTTACAGTCGGTTATGAAGTACAAACACTCTGCTGACAATGACTGCTGCTGCAGGGCAGGACGGCATTGCTCTATAAAAAGCTGGGATAATAAAGAGGAAAAATGAAGCAGGGTTGTTTTGGTGCATTTTTTTCTTCGCATATTTTACATGCTATTTACATTTAGGATGAATATCTGGAAACCTACAAAGTACTTAGATTAATGTATGTTTTTTATTTTTTATTTTTTTTTGCTTGTTTTCAGTGTCATGCTATGAAAATTAAAGTGGAACCAATATTTCCAAAACAAGGCTATGTCCTTGAGATAATAATTGTCAGTGATGAAAATTGGAAGCAAGTATGACTATGAAAAACAAGCCGTAGTGTAAAAAGGGACAAACACAGGCAGAAACTCTGTGTGTGCTGCGTCTTTCAGTGAGCAGTTTCGATAGTTTGCTGTCACATTTACCAGGCAACCAGCTGCTATTTAAAACCAAACATCTGGATTTAAGAGTTGGGTTCGCCCAAAACCTGCAGTGCTGATGTCGGAAAAGACAAAGAGAGAAAGAAATCCGAGTCCAGATCCGGATCTTCGTTTCTTCCGGTTTGACTCTGAGCTGTACGGTTCAGAAATCAGGACCCTCCTTCTTCAGGTTTTTGTAGTCTGTGGTGATTGCCACAAACTGCAGAAGAAGAACATAAACAGAAGACTGCTGCCGCAACAAAAATATTTACCCTGTAACTTGTGTGGACTAAGCAGTAGCTCATGTTTGTGTGTGACCTGGATTACCTTGTACTGGTATGTGGGGTCGAGGTTATTCCATGGTTCAGGATTATCTGTCTTGTTCCAGCTTAAATACAGAAAAAAGCAAGGAATTGTTTTATCCTCTTTAAATCTCTACCGCCATTGTTTTTAAAGAAATCATTAAAAAAAACTAAATAAAGAAAAACAGTGTTGTGCAAACATGTTACAAGACCTGCTAAGACCAGACATTAAGCCCAAATGCTTACTAAAAGCAAATCCAGCAAGACTTGGACCAAGTGGGACAAAGATATTCGTCAAAAGCAAGCAATGAGTCAAGATATTTCTTAAAAGGTTTGAAGCCAATACCAGAGCAGCGTTTCAGGACAACACTGAAGCTAATCGAGTTGGTTGAAAATTGATAGGTTTTACTCAGAAAACATAAATATTGATCACCGATTAAGGAGGCAAGCAATCTGAAAAAATGTCCAGAAAAGACACCAGAACTGGTGTCAGTTTGATTGTTACAGACACGGCATACGCTGAGATTACTTTTGATATATATATTTTTTGTTGTTTTTGTTTTTTTAAACTCCACAGTCACAAACATTAACGTATTACTGTACATTAGGTTTAATGAAACAGACCAACACAAAGTGATTCATTGCTATGAAATGTCCTTTCTATTCTTTGATACCCCTAAATAAAATCTGGAGCAACCGATTACCATGGATGTCGCTAGGACGCAATTGCTAAGTGGTTCTTCTGTGTGTAATTTGTGTTTTTAAATCATAAAAGTGGAATATTCTATGAATGCTTCAAGATTTGTCATCAAACATTTGTGAATAAATAGCATCAAAAAGATCAGGGAACACGGAGAGGTCAGGGAGAAAGTTATGAAGAAGGAGAACAACCATAGACAGACAGAGCTAATGGAACAGTTGAAAATGGCCTAGTTAAAGCCCAAACCTAAATCCAAATCAGAACTTGAAACAGAAACGTAAATTTCTTATCATTCTGACAAAGTCTAAATTATTTTATCTGCGAAAAACTTTGCAAACCTCGTATTATTTGCCTTCTACTTCACAACTATACAAACCTTGTGTTGGTCACTTCAAAGTGTGAGTGCGAGTCAGGATTGTGCCTAATTACTGCAGGCTGGGTTTTTCTCTCTCTTTTTTTTTTATCCAAAACTGCTGCAAAAGTTCAAAAAGTCTTACGTGACATGTGGTCCTCTGGCCAGCCGGATAAGATATAAGGACGCACCACCCATTCCCAGGCAGATAAAGAAGAACTGGGGGATTAGCTGAAGGCAAACAGATAAAACCAACAGTTATTTCTTTGCTACTAAAAATTTAAATAAAATTAAAAAAAATGTTATTATATAGATGACAAAGCATAACCTGAAAAAAGGCTCATATAATTAAACATTCACACTGGATCCGAACCCACCATAGAAACCTGAGAGTGAACTGGCTTCTCGAATAACTAAACATGTAGAAAGAAGCCTAAGTTTTCCAGGTTTCTGACATAGCTATGACCCAATTATTAGTTTTCTGAAACTCTGGCTTTGAACTACGGAAGAAAGTCACAATAATAGAGAATATTTGTATACATAGGGAGAAAATGGAAACTCCAGACAGAAAGGATTCCAACAAAAGTTGAAATGCTAAAAATTGACTCATCATGCGAGATGGAAATGATACAAGGTGAAAAGGATCCAATTTTGTTTCAAACAGAAAATTAAAACCATGTATAGTTTTCCACCCACTTCACTATCATCCATGTAGCCCTAAAATCCTGAATAAACACATTCAGTTTTGTGGTTGCAACATGGTAAAATGTGAAAATAAAAGTTTGTTTAAAAGTATGAGTCAAACAGAGTTCATTCAAACTGTTTTGTTTCAACTTAAAAAAAAAATTGGTCAAAACACAATTTCAGAAAAGCAGGTGAAACAATTTTGGATATGATGAAAAGTGGCAAGCCCTTTCAGCTGCGGTCTCATGTGAAGAGCAAAATCACATTTGTCAATTTAAGCCACACAAATATCTTTTTAAGAGAAGGAAATACTGCAGTCAGTCAGCTCAGTCATCTGAACCCTGAATCTGCCAGTCCAATTAATAGGAAGGTTTTGCCAAACAAAAATCTGATTATATTCTCCAGTCATTCTCCTCCAGGTTCATCAGAAAATCGCAGCTCCTTTACAGGTGAGGACAACAGGAACTGTCAGACAGGTGATCTGGACCAATCACAGCTCTGCTGATTAATTAGTGACCCGCTTCTGTCGTCCCAGTGAACCAGCTGACGCAGAGATACGAGGTTACGTAAGACTCTGAATGACGGTCTGTGGGAAAACAACAATCCCAAAGAACAGGAACTTCTTTGTCATACAATTTTCTGCTTCGCTTGTGCTGCATTTTAATGTGGAAAACAATGTTTTCAGAGGACAGGAAGTAGTTTAATGCTTTCATTACCTTTATTTTCAGCTGTTCTTGTTACGGCTCGCTCCTGAGTGGGACAGGTTGACGTCTTTAAATAACACCAAAAGCGGTCTCTGTTTTCTACCCAGAATGCAATGGGAACACTGGCCCAGTGGCTCCCACAACTATATTTTATCATTAATCTTGAGATAAAACTTATCTGATTTTTTTCCATTAGCTTTACTATCTCATATAAAAAAAATAGTTTTACATATTAACATACATGTTAATATTATTACAATGAAAATATTAATAATTAATAATGATAACAAATGTTAGCACAAAAGAATACAAACAATATGTATTATTCTGTCCTTTATTTAATGAATAACATTAATGACATGCTATTAAATAAATGTGTTTGTAAATCAGGTATACATTTTGATTTTAACTGTATTTAAACAGTCTTACTACTTATAATAGCCAGCAAAAGTATAAATTTATTTACTATATTTATACATTTATCTTTACATTTTTTAATCTACATTTTTTAATTTGTCAATTTAGAAATAGATTTTAAAAAACAACAACATGGTTTTAAATTTTAATTGTCTTATAGTGTTGTCTAGTTAACAGCTTGGATTCCAAAGTCTGTGTGGATCTGAAAAGGTTTGGCAACAGCTGCTCTAGTTGGTGCCTGTAAGGTGAAATGGAATCATCTTCTACTTAATATGTACAGAAAACGAAAGAAATGTCCCACAAATTGGATGGAAAACACCATCAGCTTGTTAATCCCTGCAGGAAGTCTGACCACAAGTTAAACGCCAATCCAACATGATCTCAAAGTGAGCCAGATGGATCCTGAAGGAGGATTAGAGCCGCTAACGACCCCACAATGTAAGACAGTTCAACACAGATGAAAAGTTATTTTGAGGAAGTTAAACCAGGAGTTTAGTTTAATAAAATAATGAACTCCAGCAGGTTGGTCTTTGGTGATGAAAGGTTAAACTTCAATGTTTTTTTTCAGTGTACAATGGCAGAAATATAAACATTTTAAAGCTTTTTTTTTTTTTAAATCATCAATTGGGTGACCGACCCAATGATGATTATTATGCGTTTCATATCAGATTGTCTTCATTCCTCTTTATTTATAAATAGGTGAAAGCCTACTTTTATGCTGCAATTTTCTGAATTGCAGACACTTTGTGACAGAGATTTCTTGAAATGCACCACTCTCATAATGATATCGCTCTGATCATCTTTCACTCTTTCCATATGTGTGTTTGTCTGACTGATGTTTTTATTTGTCAGACTTTTTTTTGTCTGAAGCTTTTGGACTCTAACCGCCTGTGTCTTTGTCTCTTTCCGTCCATCTGTCTGAAGTTGATGAGGCAGGTTTACGGAGTCTCAAAAGGATTTTACTCTCTGCGGTTTCTGTCTCGGTGCTTGTCAGTTTTCCGGGATGATAGACGATGCTGAGGAGCTCTGGTAGCGCGAGTTTTCATCCCTGCAGCTTCTCTCTCTCTCTCTCCAAGGAAACCAGAGACAAAAAGTTAACACTCTGTAAGCCCTCGTGGAAATGGATAAAAAAGACTCTGAAATAATCCCCTCCCCTGTGGGGGAAGAAATACATGTTTTTGAGGAAAGGTTTTACACCAGCAACTGATCTGATTTTGTCAGATAATTAAGGAGATTGAATTTTTTTATTTTCATGTGTTATGTATGACTGGTGCCTTAATCCTCTCTAAATTTGCCTTGATTTTAAAACCGGCTGCAGGAGCGACGTAACCGACTGAATGAGAGCTCCAGATTAGAAGAGACAGAATTAGACTTCTCTTTATCTCTCCTGCTTTAACCTATTAATGAATGAGTGACATTGCAAGTGATTACATAAGCTGGCTAAGTACAGGGATAAGGACAGTAGGGAGTGACATTTGACTGCAAATATGCTAAGGTAAATCAAATTTCACAGTATTTTTTCTGAAAATCAATAAACAGAAAAGGTCAGTAGAAATGACCTAAACGTTGACCCACTTATGATTTGGACATGGCAATCTAATAAAAACAAAAACAAAAAAAAAACAGAATAAATGTGTATCTAAAACAAAAAACAAATTTAAAATTATACCACAATTACTTTTACTTTTGTAATCTAAATTATTATAACAAAAATCAAAATGCTAATTATTTTCATTAAACTCAAGTGGTAAACATCATGTGGCTGAATTTCCTTTCGCATTTTTCAAAACAAGTGTCATCCAATGAAATTTAGAAAGAGGAAAATAGCTTTTAAAAATTAAATAAAAAAGTCACCACACATCATAAGAACAGTCAAACCGGGAGGAAAGGAGGCTCACTCACCCCGGGGTGCCTCTTTGCGTGCTCAGCCACCACCCGAAACATCAGTGCTCCAGTTTACAGGTCTCTATATGTACAGAGGATGAAATAAAAGTTTTTCAGAGTCGACAGTTCAGGGCCAACCACCAGCTTCTTGTGGCCGTGCACAGGCAGGATTAAGACCTGTTGCTTTCTACATATGGAGCGACACAAGGGGGAGGAGGAAGAGGAGGAGGAAACGGGGGTATGAGAAAGAGGCCCTTTTTCATCTAATTACAGCTACTGTTGGGTGATTCAGCCCTTCTAAACGCTGTATGTGTTTGAAGATGGACGTCTCTGGCCTGAAACGTGATGATTTGTTGTCCCAGCTAAAGGCAGACGTTCAGCTTGGAAGCTCAGAGCGCCTTTATCCACCTCTTTGCTTGTGGTCTTGTGGGAAACGAGTGGAGGAAATGAAACAGGATTGAGTTTCCTTTCAAAGGCCAGGAGGGAATTAATGTATGTCTGAAATCTTATCAGATACAAAAACAAGAAATTCTCAAAGGACTTAAGCTTGCAACACAGTTTTTTTTTCTTTTTTAAATGAGAATTTCTCTGATAAAACAAACAAACAAAAAAAACCACAAGCTGGTCAGATATTGTTGCATCCTCCCCAGAAGCCCTCCTCCTAATCGAGTCTGGATGCGCCGTGTTTGCAGCTGTCGTCTTGGACACTCAGTCACCGTCTCTGCGCCTTTTCAGGCTTCTCAGACAGCCAGTCAGCGCCACCACAGACCTACTCAAACTCTGAGTGTTTGGTAACATAGCAACACAGCTTAGTGACCATTATTTCTAGGAAGAAGAGGAAGAAAAAAGAAAAAAAAAGCAACACGGGATTTCCAGCTCTCATGCATTTGAAATTTAAATTAAAATTTTCCCAACAGGTGCTTCAACTATAGCTTAGCTATAGTCAAGAAAAGGTACAGAGCATCTGTTAAAATAAAATGAAAAAAAAAAAACATATGTAGAACCAAATCATACTTTATATGAATTTATTGCATGCACTTGTGAAAAAATATCTATCAGTGTTTAAAAACAAAGGAGAAGCCAAACGAGCCCATTGGACCGAAAGCTCAGAGAGAGAGAAACACTTTGTCCTCCCAGTCTGCTTAATGGACCAGTGTCTGTGATTCATTGTGCATCAGTTTAATTGGATGTGAAGACAAATACAATCCAATTTGTCTCATAAGTGCCCCTCGGAGATGTTTCATCCCAGCCCGTGACGTCCCACAGTGTCCACAGAGGACTGATCTGGAAAACAAAGCAGCAGCATTGATCACATGATCACATTAGCAAAGCTTTGTTATGCAGAAAGAAGAATATGCTAATTATGTTTTGCCGAATATCATAAATTTCTTATTTGCCAGTTTAGTTTATTCACACATACAGAGAATCATGTTCACATTAAAATGTCTGGAAGGTGAACCTAATCGGTCTCAAGTGTTTTGGAACCTCTGAAAGGCGTTCCTTTGAGTTTGTCCGTCTTGGCATCAGCTCTGTCCCTGCCAAAGAAAAACATGATGCTGCCGCCACCATGTTTCGACATGGAGCACAATTATGTGTTCAGGTTGATGCTTAGTGCAAGTTTGTCCCCACATGGCTTGTGGAGAACTTTACACAGGAGTTCTTGTGGTTTCTAACTTTAGCCTAAAAGCTTTTACAAATCTTTGCAATACCTCACTATCTCTAGTAATAGTGTACCTTCAGGCACAATGATTTTCAAATTTGTATGTGTAAAAAATATAGAAAAAATATGTTGTTTTCTTCTACTTTGCAATTAAGAATGACTATTTCAAACAGAGGTCGGTACAGGGCCGTAAAATGCAAGAAATTAGTAAGAGTAAAAAGAGTAAAAAGAAGTATTTGGTAAAGAGGCTACTCAATTACTGTGTAACATATAATGCAATGTTTTTAAAATTATTTAATCAGACAGACAAAATATAAAGATAAGTGCAAATATGTGCAAAATTAGAAAAACAAAGCTTGTGTAGAAATAAGAAGTTTCACATTAACAAATTGCAGGTGTGTATTCCAGAAGTTTTACAGAGGCGAGGCTTCCAAAAAATATGGTGTAAAACTACTCCTAAAAGAACATTTATTTCAAAACGTTACTTAAGTGAATGTAACTACACCCACCTCTGGTTTTGGACTATCACAAAAATGTATATTGTGACTACAATGGAACAAAATGTAGAAAGGCACGACTGCATATTCCAGTATTTGCAACACTGTTCTTTCCCGCCGATAGGACAACCAGTTGAAGAGTCAAATGTATGCACACAGTGTGCAACATGTCAAATGTATGCACACAGTGTGCAACATGTGAATAGACTCACTGCTCAGCGACGATGGCAAGGTTTCCCATAAAAAAACAAATTTGATTTTCTGGCTATTTTAAGACAAAGCTTCGTGGTATCTGTCACAGATTCAGCGTTTGGACTTTGATTTTTCCCTCTCCTCCGCCGCAGGTCTGTGGGACATTGGCTCATCCTGTCTGCTGCTCCTGCTGACCTACAACACTGCAGCTCACAAACAAATCCTCCTAATTGGATACCGGCCAACGCGGTGGCAGCAGGCTTGTTTGGAAACACAAGCCCCCAGTCAGCGCGGTATTCCCCCTGCGCCGTGAGGTAAACATGGTCCAGAAACACATAATGATGATGCTGATTGGTCCTAGCAGGAAATAGGCTGTTTGACAGGACATCTTGCACATCGTCATCTTTTAGTAGGGAGATATAAAAATGGAGACACTTGTTACACATCATCAGGGTGGCTTTTTTTTTTTAAGAGATGCAATTATACAGTTTGATTTCAACATTTTCCTATTTTTTTCTCTCCCATTGTGATCTCTCCCTTATGATAATCTTCAGCCAATCCTGTGGAAGTCGCAGGCACGCCGTGGCTCCTATTAGCCTCAGCCAGCCACTGCTGTGGGAACGGGACCTTTCTGAAGTGTGTGTATGTGCGCCGCTGCCATGTTGCTACTTGAGGAGAAACAGAGCAGGCTGAGCACTAGATTGAACCTCGATCCCTGACACGGTTTCCCACATAATACTATTAAACTACTCAGGCCTGCAGCGCAGCGCGGTCACCAAGGAGCAATAAAATCCACGCATGTACCGGACGGCTCACACGCTGGCCAGGAAGATCAGTCGAAAATCTGTAGCTTGTGCACATGACAATGAAATTGCACAGTTTAATAAGTTTTACACTATATTCCATGTTGAAAAATGTTTTCCAATTATGATGCATGTTTTGAAATAAATGCATCTCATAAAATCATTGCCTCTTTATTAGATGTTTATTTTCCAAAGACTTTATAAAAGTTCAAAATAATAAAAAGTACACCTGTTTAGTATTAATTACAAAAAACTCTTATGAAGTTCAAAAATACTATGGGAGAATTGATCATTCAGATCTAACACCGAGTTACGGTTACTCAGTGTTAAATAACTAACTCCAGACAGATTTGGTATTTAACACTTAATTAAAGCTAAGGTACCAACTCTCCAAAAAGAGTTAAATTAGCACTTTCTGGTGTGAACCCATGTACTTTAAAAGTGTTGAAATTAAATCTGACATAGTTAATTTGAACCTGCTGGATTAGCTGTAAGCTGGTAAAATATTATTTTATTTGAGATGTTTCACTTTGACAAGCTTTATACAACAAGACGAAAAAGTGTGGCAGTATGCCCTGTAGGCTTTGAACTCACCACACAAGTGCCTGAATCTAATTGGTTGTGGCGCTGACTGCCTGTATTAAAGGGCCCGCCCTCACGTGGTTGACGTCACGTTGTTTTCCTTCCGGTTCAGACTTCGGCGTTTGTTGGTGCTGCACGCTAAGTAAGGCAGGCTTCATCTCTCTCCATCAAGCTTATTACTTGTGATTTATTTCCATTTTCTGTATAACTGCCGCAAATTAATACGCGCTCAAAACGGTGCGCTTAACGACGCTCTGATCGCCGATCCATCGTCCTTGTGGTAAGAATCTTCCCACACTCAATGTTTGTTAGCTTAGCTTTAGCTCAGCTTTTGTTGTATATCCAGGCCGCCTGTACAAGCTCCCTGTTTCCTCCTTCCTGTCAGAGGCTCTATTTAAAGAGCTCAGTGGTAAGTGAAGTGCTAGTTTTTTCACGCTTTTGGGTTCCATTTCTAACATTTATTCTTGTTAGCCACTGCCGTTTGTCCTTGGCCGGTTGTTTGCCTGCTGTTCTGGTTGTCCCCGACTGGCGGTCCGCCTGTCATCTGGGTTATCTGTCGGCTGCCTACCTGTCGTCCTGTTTGCTGGCTTCATGCCCGCCGTCCTGGTCGGTGTAAAGCTGGCTCCCATCACTCGTCCAGTGTGGCTGATTGGTGACCAGCTCGGACTAATCCTTCAAGTGCCGTTCTGAGTGGCGTCTGCTACAGCGGATCGGATCCTCCCAGGACGGACCCTCAATTTGGACTACTGCTGCTTGATTGGTCGTGAACTGAATTGTATAATTGTATTGTCTGTAATTTTAATGTTTCTTTCCTTATTTTGACAAGAACGGCCAGCGTGGTGTTGGTAGTGGACTTTCTGGTTTGGTGCACGATTTTCTTTTGTTTTTGCTGTTTCGTTTGCTGTTTCTTTTTAGGACACTACCCTGAATTACGCTCCTCTCTGAGTTGAGCCATAACTGTCTTTTAATGTGTGTGGTTTTAAACTAGTATATTTGATTAAACTAAAACAATTGTGTAATAAACTTATTGAATTGAGATTGTCTCGAGCCTCGTATGTAGCGGGTCTGTGTGCCTTAGAGGCAGTGGCGCAAAAAGTGGGTATGCAGCGCATGCAACTCATAGGGGCGCTGCACCAGAGGGGCGTCAAATCCCAGTCTGGAGGGGGCAGCGCCCCGATGAAGCCTTCACATACACTTCACCTCGGCACATGTAAATGTAGCGAGTTTTACCTTTCACTTGTCTTCGTCTGGGGGGGTTAAACATACGGTCGCTCATACGGGTAGAGCGACCGTATGTTTTCTACGCTCCTTCACCCTTGCATGCCTTCCTTGGAGGGTGGGGGTGCTCCGATTTATGTTTTCGCATCCACCTGAATAATATGTAGTTGCGCCCCTGCATAGAGGTAAATTTAAGTGGAGACATTGCAACCAATTTTATCTTTAATAGTGCTTTAAAATTTGAGTTACC